TACCCCTGCCCCAGGGCAGAGGCAACATCCCTGAGCCTGTGTCTGGCACGTGCAGAGACCCTGCTCCAAGGGGCTGCATGCTGCAGGTCGGAGGCCGCCAGCAGCCCCTCACCAGGTGGAAATGGAGGCTAATAAGGGGAATCAGAAAACGAGCAGGGAGGTGAAGTCTGCCATTCAATCCCCCTCATCTTCTCTTCTGCAGACTCAGTCAGCCCAGTCCCCCCAGCCTCTCCTCACAGGTCCTGTCCCCCAGCCCCACAACCAGTGCTGTTGCTCTCCACTGGACTCTGTCCAATGTGTCCACATCCTTTGCGTAGTGTCCAAGACTCCAGACGTGGCCTCCCCAGTGCTGAATCGAGGGGAAGAGGCGCTGACTCGACCTGCCAGCATCGCTCCGACCGATGCAGCCCAGGATGCCGGTCGCCTTCCTGGCACCAGGGACACGCTGCCGGCTCCTGCCCAGCTTCTTGTCCCCTGTCCCACCAGGTCTGTTCCTGCAGAGCTGCTGCCCAGCCTGCACCGGTGCAGGGGATTGCTTCTTCCCAAGTGCAGGACTTTGCGCTGGTCCTCGTTGAACCTCATGAGATTTCTTTTGGACCAATCCTCCAATTTATCCAGGTCACTCTGAATCCTAGCTCTACCCTCCAGCGTACCTACGACTCCCCCCAGCTTGGTGTCATCTGCAGCCTTGCTGAGGGTGCACTACATCCCATCTCCCAGGTCGCTGATGAAGATATTGAACCAAACCAGCCCCAGGACCGACCCCTGGGACACTGCGCTTGATACCAGCTGCCAACTAGACACTGAGCCATTGATCACTACTCTGAGCCCAATGCTCCAGTCGGTTTCCTATCCGCTTGTGACCCAGCCCTGTCCCCGCTGCCCCAAGGCCGGATGCAGCTGCCCCCAGATGTTATGACAGCTGGGCAGTGCAGCCCATGACCCTGCACTGGGTTTGGGCTCAGCTGCAGCATCTCCCAGGCAGTCGCCCCCGCAGCCCCAAGTCGGAGCTGCCCCAGCCGCAAGTCACCTCCAGGGATTGCCCTTTGACTGGCTAGGGCTGCTGCCCCCTCCCCAGACCTGGCTTTAGCATCTGAAACGTGAGCCCATGACCTTGGGCTCCTGCTGGGAGATTTCTTCCCAGCCGGGCTACAGGCAGCAAGGCTCTGCTGAGGGGAAGGGGAGCTGCAGCTGCATCCTAGAGCCCCTTCCCCGAGGACAAGGCACTTCCCGGCAGCCCAGCACAGGGCACCCTGTGGCACCCGTGCCAGCTGCACCAGCACCCTGCACAGCAAGGTGCCAGGGCCACACGTCTGCTGGGCCACAGGGTCTAGCTGCAGTCAGGACTGCTGCTTACCTGCACGCAGGTGCCCACCCCTGCGCTCTGCAAGGGCGCTGCGTGTGACCGCCCTGCCTCCCTGCGAGTTGTTGCTCTGCTCTTCCAGGTCATCCTTCACTCATTTGAGACGAGCAGTAATCACCTCCCTGCCCCCAGGCCATTGATGACCACTGGAAGGGCCCAGCCCTGGCGGCTGCAGAAGAAACACGTGTACAGAGAGGGATCCCCAGTTGACAGCTGCTGCCTGGGACCTCTCTGTGAGCAAATCCTTAATCCTATTAAGAGGCATCTGACTGATGACACTCAGCTTGCTGTGCCGGTTGGATCCAGCACCTCTTGGGAAGCTCAGGAGACCAGAACTACAGTCAGGACCCATTTCCCATAAAGCCACATTGATAGGAATACAGTTAATATCAATCCACATAATGCAGAAACAAGAGGATTTATCAATGCCTCCATGCTTCTCCACAGGGCTGACATCAGGTTCCCTGGCCTGGCTTGCATTTACCCAGCTCACTGCCCCCACATATTAGGGTTTATTAAGAAGCAGCTGCCTGCCAAGCTCCTGGGCCCACTCTTTTAGAAGACTTAGTAGTCAGCATGACCTGATGAATGCAGGTGTTTCTCCCTACTACTTATTACACCCCACCCCACCTCAGGTCTCCATGGGCTAGAAACAGGGCCTTGCTGTCCTCCTGCAAGAGACTGCCATGTGTGCCAGCCCAGGTCTCTGCAAGTACCAAACAGAAACAGCAATGGGTGCAGGAAGGCAGGATTTGATTCAAGGGGAAAGTAACTTAGTGACAGAGGATGCAGAAAAGGCTGAAGTGCTCAATGCCTTTTTCACCTCAGTCTTCACCGGTAAGGTCAGCTCCCAGGTGACTGCGCCGGGCAGCACAGTTTGAGGAGGTGAGCAGCCCAGGTGATTAGGAGCAATCAGCATGGATTCACCAGGGGCGAGTCATGCCTGACCAACCTGATTGCCGCCTATGACAAGGAGACTGGCTCTGTGGCTGGGGGAGGAGACTGGTGGATGCAGCATACCTTGATTTTAGCAAAGGTTTTGATACAGGTCTCCCCTGTTTTCACAGGGAAGCGAAGGAAGTACAAGCTAAATAAATGGACTGTAAAGCAAACAGAAAACTGGCTCCAGCACTGGGCTCAGAGCAGTAATCAGTGGCTCAATGTCTAGTCAGCAGCTGGTATCAAGTGTGGTGCCCCATGGCTTGGTCCTGGGGCTGGCTTGGGTCAACGTCTTCATCCACAACGTGGAAGATGGCACGGAGTGCACCCTCAGCAAGTCTGCAGATGCCACCAGGCTGGGGGGAGTAGCGGATATGCTGAAGGGTAGGACAGGGATTCAGACTGACAGACGCAGTGGAGGACTGGGCCAAAAGTCATCTCAGGAGGTTCAACAAGGACAAGTGCAAAGTCCTGCACTTGGGAGGGAGCAATCCCCTGCACCGGTGCAGGCTGGGGAGGGACTTGCTAGGCAGCAGCTCTGCAGAAAAGGGCCTGGGGGAGACAGGGAACAATTTGCTGGATGAGCCAGCAGCGTGCCCTTGTTGCCAAGAAGGCTACCGGCATCCTGGGCTGCACGGGTAGGAGCATGGCCAGTAGGTCCAGAGATGTGATTATTCCCCTCTATTCAGTACGGGGGAGGCCACATCTGGAGTCCAGTGTCCAGGCACGGGCTCCCCCACTACAGAAAGGATGTAGGGAAGTTGGAGGGAGGCTAGCAGAGGGTGACAAAAAAAAAAAAAAAAAAAA